GATTTTAAATTTCGATGAAAATAATGCGACTTTATGACTCGATGATTCGAAAAGTTCGATCGGTAATTAACTGCTTAGCAATATTGTAATGGCACGTAATACGAGATTAACAATATTACTGGTGATTTGTACAACTGAAACTATTTTAATCCACTGTGACGATGATCGTTTCACGCTCGCTGTCTGCTTCAGACTATTTCAGCTACTACTTAACTTGCTCGTTTTGTTTACGATCAGTGATCAGATGGCATAAACCTAGACATCTAATACTTTTTCTTGACTCTCTTACCATTTGCATGTCAGATGCATCGACTAATATTATACTACATTGACATACACGAAATTTTTGAATATTCATACCTCGTCTATCTGAGATCTATGAATTTTTATTTCTCATTCCCAGTGCTATTTTCAATTATTTTCAAAGTCATTTCAAAGTGAAAGTAATGGAATTTGTATTTCATAATAATTGTTTAAGCAGCTGAGTAATGATTTCGTTTCGATCATTTAGGCAAGCTTTCTCGAAACGTTTATCATCAAAGTGGTTGAATTCCATGTTAAAACATTGCAGTCAAGCGAGCACAGCTTTATCTTTTTTAGAAACTATAGCCTTCGGAGTGTGCTTATGCCTCTACAATCATGTGATTTCCGTAGTATACCACGGAATTTCTTTACAATTTTGTCAAAAATTTAATGACACATATTAGTATATTTTATTGAAATTTCGAAACGAATTCAAAATGATTCTCACTGAGTACTGTTAATTCTCGTTCTCGATTTACTTCTGCCGATTTGTTCAAGCTTGAATAAAAATCATTGGATTTTAGAATAATCCAAAGTCTACCACCAGAAGGTTCCAAGTGATTTGCAAGTATTATGTGTGTACATATGTATTTACATATTTATTGCCTGTTCTCTAGAAAACATACGATTTTAACGTCGTATAATATATTAACGTGTTTTATATTAGACAAAATTAATGTCCAACAATCTGTTTCATCGTGTAAACGTTCTGAGAAAGAAGAAGGATATTTTAATTTCTGCATAATTGTAAATATTGAAACGTTGAAAAAATTTTGGTTCGTGGGCCAACTCGCTGTCTGATTAATTCTTCGTCGTTTTATCTCTTCATTAGTACAATTGCGCGTTTCTTAATATCTTGCACGCTGCTGAAAATGTAAAACGAAGATTATTTCGACGGAGAGAAGGAAAAGAAAAAAATTTTTAACTATTAACAAGATAGAGCGACAGATATTTGTAATAGTTCTTCTGGAATTGTAATCAAAACCAGGGAACAATCTCTAATATGTGCATAATATTTATATAACGTTGTATTGTAAATATAATTGTTATATACGTCATTATATATAACGTTTAATAGTTCAAGGATTTATTGCACTATATAAGAATTTACAGTCTTGCCATTACTTTAGCATTTTAGTTCTTGTACACGTATATATTACTCGAAAAAATTTGGTGTAACTTTATACCACCGTTAACGGAGTTGGGCTGTAATTCGTTTTGGCAGCACGAAACCCTTCGTTTAAAACTCTTCTGTATCTTCTGACGAAAGAAAGTAGACTTCATACACAGAAACGAAATA